CACGGTGTTCCAGGTCGAAATACATGCAATAGAGATCTGTCTGAGAATCAATTTAGAAAGGGGGTATAGAAACCGCACCATCTATGTGTTTTCGGATAGCAGGACTGCGCTGCTGGCGCTTCGTTCAACTCAGGCTACATCCAAGCTGGTCTGGGGCTGCCTTGCTCCACTTATGGAATTGCCATCGCAGAGCAGAGTCACGCACATTTGGGTGCCGGACCATAGTGGCAATGCGGGCAACGAAATTGCCGATGAGCTGGCACAGAGGGGATTTGCCAGCCTGCTCGCGGCGGAATGCGGCTGTCACTGCTTTGTGGTTGGGACGGGGATATTATAGGCCAGAGCGTGGGGAGGCTATAATAAGTCAAGAATGGCTAGTGTCTAATCTACAATGAAAGACGAAATTATCAATATCATTAGCATCAAATTCATCAGTATCATTTTTAAAATTATTTAAATATTTTTTAAAATCCTCAAAATATTAATATTTAATTTTTTTTTATTTTTTTTTACGTTTTTTTCCATTGTTTTTATGTTTATTTTGTGCCGAAAAGAAAAAAGCCCCTTTTTAATTTTCAATTTCCAAAAAACTTGATTTCGTTTTACGTAGTGACATCAAACCAAAAAATAATTCAATTCAGTATTTCTTAATTATTTCTGATTTAACATTATTTAAAAGAAAAAATTAGCTTAAAAAAAATGAATTCATCAGCTTACAAAAATAGAAGGGTATTGAATTATAGAGAAAAATTTTTAATTTAAAAATTCACAGCAACCTCAATTATTTTTTTATTTATTTAAGAGAAATAAACAAAAATATTAATTACGATTTATAAACAGTTTTTTAAAAAAGTTTATTAGAAATCAATATTTAGAATTACTTGTAATTAATGACGAATGTCATAAAGAAAGTGAACATCTTTTTTTCGAAAACAGACGTAAACGAAAACTTTCAATGTTAATGTGTACAAAAAAATATGAAAAAAGAATGTACCTAAAGTAGCAGCCTATTTGCAAACAATATTTTAAAGCCAAGTACAATATTTTTTTTTCATTTTCGAATGGAAAAACCTGATTATGTTTTGGTAGGTTTATTTACTAAACCGTCTTAGATAGAGCAATTTGGTTTTTAAGCAATAAAAATTTGTTATAAAGAAGTTTCGAATCGATGTAAATTCGGAGAAATATGTAAACTTTTCACATCCTTAGGTTCAAAATATGTGAAATGGTCAAATAGAGAAGAACAAAAAATTATTGTAGAAAATTTCAATAAAAGAGAAAACGTGTCCTACATTTGAATTATTATATGAAATATCATTCTCATTTGGTGAAGAATTTCTATGTGGTTCACCAGGAGATGTTATTTTTAATGATGATAATAAAAAATCATCGGTCGGCGTAATAGCATGACTATTGTTATAAACTCGATGAAACATTTCATAATAATCCCTAGTTCATTCTGTTATTGTCAGAATTTTTATTTTTAGCTTTAATCATTTTGTATGATTGTAAAAGATTATTGAACTTTTTTGTGCATTCATCTAACAAGAATGGGCAATTTGCATCAATAATTTTTTTTCTAAAAAAAATCCTTCACAATCCAGTTTTTTTTTTGCCTTCTTTGAAGTCCGGTTCATCATCAAGTCTTACTTATGCCATCAATTTTATTTTAGACTTATCCGAAAATTTTTTATTTTATAAATCACTGAAAAATAAAATTATTAATTATAAAACAACACAAAAATTCCAAGAAAAACGTTATATGTAATCCAGCAATTCCTCAATATACTTCATTCTTCTATAACGCTTCTTTTTTAATTTACAATACTTTTGCAGTAGTTATAAAAAAGTTTAAAACTTCCTTTAGAACTTTAAACAGAACTGACATTTTCGAACTTTCGGCTTTTTTTGTAGTGGAGGCTTATCGAATATGCTACTTTTGCAGGTTTTGTAGTTTTGATTTATTAAACGTGTTTTATATTTAGACCTAAGTTAAAATTGAATTAACGAAAATCCGCATTCAAAAGGATCCGCATTCAAAAGGATCCCTGTAGTTTTGGTGGAATTACTTGACAGGCTGGGGTAGTTGCCACACAACCCCAAAGGTTAATTCTAAATATTTGGAAAAATATTGAAGTTAAATTCATGGAGCTTGCAGTCGTGTGTCCAATTATAGGTCAGACATAATATCCCGTGAGGTTTCTATTGAGCGGTTTGACAAGTTCGAGTAATTGACTTTTAAAAATGAAAGCAAATTCTAAATATTTCAAAAACAGATTTTCAAACTCAGATTCTCCAAGTGCAGGATATTTTTTGGTTAGTTTATACCAACTAAACGTTTTTACTTGTTCTCTTTTGTTTTTGATTATTTATTTTTGTTCAACTTTGAATATGAACTAAAAAATATGAGTGGTTCAATTTGAAAACATATTTTATTTATGTATGTATAGTTTTAGCATAAATAAAGTATCTTTTTCGAATTAACACAAACATTTTTTTTTCATTTTAATTTTTTTTTGGAAATTAGAGATTCGGAAAATTATCAATTCATTGTCCAATTCCTTTAATGATTTTGATAGTTTTACCCTCAAATGCACCCGATCCTTTTTTTTATTTTCAGTTAATAGTTCCTAGCACCCTTACTACTTTCAAACCTGAATTCATTCATTTCGTGTATCGATACATGATTCTATGAAGGTAACATCGGGTGAAATCAAAAAGCAAACAAAAAATCCATGACTTCAATAATGCGCTTACGCCGTAAATTTTACAAAGTATAAAATTCCAAAAAGTTTAGTAAAAGCTCTTGACATTATACACTTTTTCTAACTGCGTTTCATACGTTGTGGAAAAGTAAAATAAAAGTAAATCGTCATATAAATGTTGCCAGAAATAACCGATAAAACAAACAAGCATATATTTTCAGCAATAAAGTTCTAGTTATCAATTTTTTTTCTTAAAATGCAACAAAAAAATGTTGTTTTTAATGATGTGGTAACGTTTGTTAAAAATTAACATATGCACAGAATTTTAAATTGAAATTTTCAAACAAACGTCAAAATATGTATTAATATTGTAAAAATTGTATTCCAAAATGTATCAAAAGCTTTATTAGTTTTTTTTTACAACGTAAGGTATTGAAAGCTCTGAGACGACACTACAACCGTAATGTCTTTACATCTAACAAGTCCCAATACTAAGAGAGAACCTTGAAAGCAAGACTTTATTTTATATGGGGTTTTTTTAAATTGAAGTGGCTATTTTTTGAGAAGAAATATTAAAATAAATTTACACTTATTATAAAGCAGGTAAAATTTCTAAAACATATTTCAAAAATCAATTAAATATATTAATATTTTCATTCATAATTACTTAAAATTCTTGAAATACATATAAAAAAGCGGAAAAACAACAAGCACAACCTTCGCCTTCAACATTTTATATGTTACTGAAAGCATTTCATTTTTTTAAGTGAACAGCTTTTTTTTCTCATTCGGTAAATTAATTCAAGATATGGGAAGTAACTGAGGTGTCGAGTTTACCTACACTTCCCTACTATGGAAAAGTGCATTCCTACCGAAAACTTGATATGCAAAATTTGTTGCCATCACATAACCTACCAATTGTATAACCAATACGGTCGGTAAAAAGTTGATTGGAAGTAGGTAGATACATGTTTATTTTAAATAACTTAAAAACTAACTGAAATTATTGGAAACAATTCTATAAGTAACGTATAAATAACCGAAATGAGATAATTCAAATTGTTTAAATGTGTCAACCTATATTACTTTTATTAGCATTTTTGTTAGCCAATACTACTTAACTTACCATATTGGGAAATACAAAATGGGCATGAAAATCATACGTCTTCTTTATTATTATTGAATCCTTCCTTATTAACATTTGAAACCATATTGAAATTTGAATTTTTTTTCATTTTTTTCGAAATATGACACGATCAGTGGAATTTAAAGAAAAAAACTGGAACGAAGCCAAAAATTCGTAATATTTCGTAAAAAAATTGAATATTGGGATTTGTTGGATGCAAAGACATTAACAACCGTATTAATACCGTACTTAAATCTTTTTTAAAGCATTATTGAAGTCACGGAATGTGACACCGCGTAAGCAAAAAGTTTTGCTTAAAACGTTGTTGCTGTAACATTTATGTTTAAATAGTCCATTCAACATCCTTTTATATATGCTATATTTTGTCTTTCTAGGTTTAGCTGATGAATGATACAATCAGATTTCTAATTATTTTTGAAAAATGTTATTTTTAATAAGAATAAAATTATTATTTTTAATAAGAATATAAATTGTTTAATAAGAATATAAATTATTTTTTATTTTTATATAATTTTTATATTATTTAACAAGAATATAAATTATTTTTTATTTTTATATAATTTTTTAATAAGAATTTTAATAAAAACAAATGGTCCAAGCCTAAAAATTAGGCTTGGACATAAATATGTGAAAATGCATATACATACTTAATTACATGTGTTACTTACGTCAGCTGAATTGGTGATTACTTTTTGATTATGTTGTATTATACTGAAATAAAAAATTATTAACACTGCCTTAACATCTTCGAAGTGTTTACTTTTTAACCTAATCCTATGATTGTTGTTTGAATTTTCAAATGTATTTGAAAAGGGTTAAGTTTAATTCTTATATTAACCCCTTTTCTTTCAATTCATCGTTAGGAAAATAAAATGTTGCACAGGAAAATATAATGGGGGTATGTATATAAATTTTTCTTGTTCTCAAGAACAAATATTGTCAATCTCTTTAATGTTTGGAATTACTAGCTTTATTTTTAATATTAAGAATTACTACACATCATTAATTTTGATTTTGATGTAATATGTTATAGAAGGATTTTTCTCATAGCAATTTTGCACATGGAAACAATTATAAAAACGATTTATTTATAAAGTATCAAATAATATAAGTAAAGAAAGAATGATTTTTCTAATAAACTTTTATTTTTATTTAAATAAGAAATTTAACATTCATTATGTTTTCCATTACATAGGTTCGTGGATATTAACAATACTAAATATTATAGAGTTAGAGTAATAAAAATTTTATACTAAAATAAACTTTTTTTGAAATTTACTTTTATCAATGTTGGTATCATTCATACATACATATACCAATTTATTTTAAATAAAAATTAAAGCAATAACAGCAAATCATTTTGAAAATAAAAACATATACTTATCAATTTTGTTTAAATGATTCCAATTGTAGTTTTTTTTGACAATGGTACGTTCTTTACATTTAAATATTATAAGTATGCTTTTATTGTAAAACTCATCCATTAAATTTACAATTCAGGTTTTTGTTTTGATATAAACACGTTTAATTTAAAACTTACCGTCAATAAATTTCATTAAGGGAATAATAAATAACTATTTAATTTTTAAAATCTACTTTTGAAGCACGATGAATTTTTTTCCGTTTTATTTCTTACTGCATCTACTAATTTTTTATTTATCTTTATCGGAGTTAGCGGATTTCTTGCCAATTGGAACTGCAGCTTTAACTCTGTAATGAAAAATTAGATTCTTAAAAAAAAATGTGTTTAAAAATGCAACTATAAAATAATGGCTAAGTAAAACTGATGAAGAGCTACTTTTCAGCTTTTCATTGCAAGAAGTATGCAAGATTAAAACATAGAACTAATTATTTCGAAAATTATGAAAATGTGTCAGTTTTCAAATGAAGCATTAGTTTTGTTGAAAACGAACATAAAATTTAACCATAAAGAAATGAATATGGCTAACTGAATAAAATGTTAAAAAACAAAGAAAAACAGAGGTCGTATTAGACATCGTGCCCTTACATAAAAGAATATCAAAAGACACTATCCAACAAAAAAGAAAGGTAATCTGATCACAAACACACAAGAATAACTGGAATGATATAGGGAGCATTCCAATGAAGCCAATGAATTGGGCCAAAAAACCCCGTAAAGAGAGTCAGTGGATTACAGCAATATCGGCAGCTACACTTCTCGAATCTATAATCGAGCAATTTTCAAGAATGCATAAATTGGAGGGATATCACTCTTGTCAACACGAGACGTGAGGTGCTACCGCTGGCTGTCATAAACGAAATCGAACCAAAAAATAAAGCACCAGATTCCGTAAGAACAGGAGCTGTATAGGGTTGTATAATCTAATGGGTGGAATAGCCTCCTCTACTGCACGTTCTTCGATTTCGATGTGTTATACTATAAGGCCGTCCCTAGAAAAATTATAAACATCATTAAGGACACACTGAAAAAAAATCTGATGTGGTCAGCACATAACCGACCGCAATGTGTATTGTCTAGTTAAGTGAAAGTGTTACAGAATATTATAAAAATGTCTGTTAAATACTTCTTTCCAATTTTTAGGGCATTAGTAAGCTTATAGTTAACATACCTAGAAAAATGTAAATTTACCTCTTAGTAGAGTTTCGCTTTGTGCTACCCGAATTCCCTGAAATGCTCGTCAGTTAGTTTCGGTAACACCCACTACTCAAATATCGAATTTCAGGAAGTTCCATCAATTCGTTCCGTAGATATGGTAAAAATTGTAAAATCGGCCCTCAGATCATGTTTATATGTTCATTGTTTTAATACCAGAAATTCATGTATTAAATTTCAATGAAATCGGTAGATTATTTCTCTTTATATACACAAAAATGTATATTTGGCCCGTAGCAAACGTCCAGTTGCTGATGCCTGATTTCTTCCAAAAGTTAGGAATTTTTGCGGACGGTCGAGCAAAGCTTATATATGAAATTTCAAGAAAATCGGTTGAATATTTTCTTCAAAATGTTCAGAAATGTAAAACAAGCCGCAATCCGTGCCATGGTGGAAGTAAACTTACATATAAAATTTTATCAAAATCGGTTCAGCAGAACTTGAGATACGCGCGTGCGCACACAGACCGACAGACCGACAGGTTGCTAAAAATAGTTTATTTACACTTCCCTACTATGGAGAAGTGCATTCCCACCGAAAACTCGATACGCAAAATTTGTTGCCATCACATAACCTACCTATTGTATACACAATATGGTCGGTAAAAAGGCATATCTAAAGTGGCTATAAATCATTTCGAAGGTCATATTTCTGCTTTGAAAATAAAATATTTCTAATCAAAGTACAAATAATTTTTATCTTTATATGATATAAAACATATTTCAATGCTTCTTATAGTCAACTAGCTATAATTGTTTCAATTATATGGATAAAATAAGGCTAAAACGGACATAAGGGTAGCTATTTTGACAATAGCGTTTTTGTTTTTAAAATAAAATGTAGCTGAATAAAAAATGTCTTGGTAAACACAAGTTTATAAGTATTCAAATAAAAACATTAACAAATGAGAAATGATTTATTTGTAATGTGCCATGGAAATGAAACCAAACTTGTTGCAACATACTAATACGTAAATATAGGTAAATATTGGCAATAAAATAGTTTTCACAGGTTCCTCTAAATAGTTATAACGATATGTACATACATACGTCATAAATTATATACTTAATATATGAAAGTGTAAATGAAGTACAGCTACCAAATAAATATTAATTATCTCAAAAATGTAATTATAAGTATTGCAAAGAGCTACTGACATATTTTTTTTTAATATTAAAATATACAGACATTAATATTATAAAGTAATATTAATGAGAAAATAAATATAAAGTAATATTAAAATATGAAATAAATGGTACACTTTTGAAATGCATTTTTATATTTAATAAAGTTGGGTCAAACCAATGGTTTGTATTGTAGCACTTTTCCCTTCAACAAGTGAAAATTCTGCTTTTAAATACAGTCTATGTATAGCTATCACACTATTAAAATTATTTTCATTCATATACAAAACTATTTCTAGGATTGCATATATTTAGGATGACGCATATATGCAGTCTTTGAAATAAACCAAAAATTAATATAAAAAGGGGTTAACATAATGCTCGGTTTTAAGGGTTAATTGTGTGAGTTAAGAAAAATAATTATATTTTTTAATTTCACGGAATTTACCGTTAGCTTTTTGCGTTTATAGAAATTTGGAAAAGCTTGCGGTTTCGGAAATATAAGGTGTCAAAAATTCAAATTTTACGAATTTCAAATGGTGATAACTTGAGAGGGGCTGGAGATGGAAAAAAATTTTCTTCTAACAAAATGAACTATTTATTAATATCTAAAAGCTCCTAAAATTTCAAGCTCTGGGGTCTAGAAGAAAAACGAAATCAAAAATTTGGCAAAAAAGGACTTTAAATAACGGTAAATTTGAGCGGCCATTTTGTTTTTCTTAAGTTGAACTATAGTATACCGCGCAAGGGGAAGCAAGCCACTGCCTTTCTGCGTTTGCAAAATTTCAAAAATGCTTATGGTTTCATTGCAACAAATAGTTAAAATAGGCCATTTTTAGGGTTTTGGGGGGGTATAACTTCTAGAGGGGGGGAGATAGGTAAAAATTTTGTTCTACGGAAATAAGTTTCTAGTGAAGATCTATGTAAATATTAAATTTCAGCTTTCTATCTTCAAAGGTGTAGAAGTTTTGTAAACAGACACACGGACAGACGGACGGACGGACGGACAGAGTGAAACTAATAAGCACTTTTTTCAAAAATTTTTTTGGAAAAGTGCTAAAAATGAATTTATTGTAGTCCGTTCAAAAATAATTTTTATTCTAACTATATAATTTTTTTTTCATAAACGGCTCAAAAGTATAACTAATTTGAAAACATTATATTTCTAAAACTACTATGAATTATATTCAAAATAAAAGTAAAGTGGTAGGAAATGCATTTATCGTATATATCAAAATGTATATTAAAATATTTCACTATAAAAATGGAATACTTTACTTTGAGAAGTGGAATAAAAAGTATATGTTCTTCGAAAATTATTCTACTAAAAAAAATTTTTGTTTTTTGGTTTTTACTGTGGAAGAAACAGCCAAGTTTATTTTTCTAATTAATTTTTTTTGTCTTCAAAAAATATTAAAATGCCATAGTTCACCCTTTTAAAAAAAACTATCTGGCTATAACTTTTAATATATTTTGGATTGGCAGTTGTTTCAGCATTGACATTTAAATTAATTTTTACAAATCCAATTCATAAATCGCAAAAAAGTAATGAAAATTTTTTTTTTCGTGTTGACAAGAGATTTTAGTGTATCTTTTGTACAGAATTAGATTATTTTTTCTGACAATTTTGGAACCAAAATGCTCTTACATATTCAGATGTGCAGACAAAAATAAACATACCAGAAAGTGAATCTGCGGGAGGCGCCCCCAAAGTCAACACCAGCAAAACTATACACTCTTTCAACTAGGCGACAGCCTAATTAAGGAAGTGCTCAAACTCAAATACTTGGTTAAAGATCCGAATATTTAATGGCTGTGTAAAATCGGTACTACTTTACGGCTTTGAAACATTGCTGGCGGACGTAGCGTATATCAATCACACACAGGTGCATGAATCAACAGATTCCTAAGAATAATATGTGGACGCACGTCACGGAGACCGAATAATACTATGACTAGGCAGGTATTATATTGGAACCAGCAGGGAAAAAGAAGCGGAGTAAACGCATAACATAGGGACGAACCACACTTAAGGACACCGAATCAAATGGAAAATGCTGGTCAGAGATAAAGCCTCTAGTTCAAAACAAAGTGCGATTCAAAGGATATGATACTAGGTATAAAAATTCATACTAATAGTTATGAATAAAGGAAATAAACGAATATAAAATGTTAAAGAAACAATAGAATAATTTGGTTTTAGTGCTTATTTTTGACATATGCAATCTTTTTTGTTCTTTTAACACTAAACATGTTTTTTAATAGTTCTGGAGACCATCCCTTGATTGATTTGTCCTATCTTCAATAAGCTTTGAAATATTTTATATTTCGAAAGTAAATTATCAAAAATTTTTAAAATATCTCACTTATATAATAAAATATCTCGTTTTATCACGTAAAGTTAGTACTTTATTACAGCAACTAAACTCTCGATTTTCTCTAACATTTTAATCAGAAAGGTGTTCTTCGTCTGTTGTCAAAACGTCAATGTTAGAACCTTTTTTCACGGCAATTCAGTAATACGGTAAATTTTTATAAGTAAAATATTTATATAAGATTTAAATTTTTAGGTAAAATTATACAAGGTTGTATGGGGTGTTTCGCATAAGATAGCAAATAATTTCAGGAATGGTTCTTTGATCAATTTTCAGTAAAAAATTGTATTTGTGGAGTGCAGATATACTCGTTTTCAAGCTACAGAGTGTTGAAAAAAAGGTACAAAATTTTTACTTCATATGAATAAATGTTTATGATTCCGGAACTATGCTTAGAGTAACAATGCCTATGAATAGAGTAACGCTTTAAGACTTGCTCATATACACCCTGTACACATGTATGTACACATTATTGATGTATATATTATTGATTTGTTATCTTTTGGAAAGGTCAAAGAAACAAAAACGGAAATTCTGAATTAAAGATTACAGAAAAACAGAGAAAACATTGAAAAT